TTCAATGCCACTGCGCCCTGGGCGAGTCTGCGGTGGGGACTCTCGGGTGAGTACAGAAAGTTGGAGAGCATCCCTGGTCTCCACCCTCTCCAAGCCAGTGTCAAACACCCCAGTGTCACACCCCAGCTGTGACGTCAAAAATGTCTCCAGACATTTCCGGACATTCCCTAAGGGAAAGAAATTGCCCACCGTTTACAGCCACTGTCCTGCACTTAAAGAGAGCTATGCCTGTTATCCCAGCAGCTCAGGAGACGGGGGCAGGAGGATTATAAGTTCAAGGCCAGCCTCAGCAACTTAGTGAAGCCCTAAGCAACTTCATGAGACGCCGTCTCAAAAAATAAAAATAAATGGGGCTGAGGCTCAATGGTAGAGTGCTCGCCTAGCATTTGCGAGGCACTGGGTTCAATCCCCAGCATCACAAAAAAATAAAACATTAAGGAAAATAACTAAAAAATAAAAATAAAAATAAAATAAATCAGGCTGGGGCTGTAGCTCTGTGGTAAAGTGCCTCTGGGTTCAGTTCCCAGTACACCCCCTTACCAAAAAAGGGCTAGTGGGAACTGCTCATGTTTATAGAGAAAAATGAAAGGAAACACAAAGAAAAACAAGGTTCTTAGATTTGGGCTAAGAGCCAGAACTAGTGGAAAAGGTCAGGCACGGAAGAGTCCGTCATTTTGGGGCCCTTCAAGGCTAGTTTACAATCAGAATCTCTTCGAGTCCTTTTCAAGGATTCCATCTTGACTACATACAATTATTTATGTCCGTTTGATGCAAATTTAAGCACGAAGAAGTTCACTGGGAAGTGGGTACACGTTGCATTCCCAAGTTTGAAAGGGAGGCGGAGGCTTGTGTGGAGAACGAGGGTCTCCAGGTCAGGCGACCCACCTGCAACCCAGGAAGACTAATGTTGTTTGAAGGAAAAGTCAATCTGAAGCACAGGTTGGGAGGAGGAAAAAACAAAGGAAGGGTTTTGTCAAACAGCACTTTATCAGCTGGGGAGCACAAAGGGCCATTCATTGTTCCATTGGCTTATCGTGTAAATTCACACCTCTGAATCAACAAGCTGGGGCCCAGAGGGTGCCTGGGAAACCTTATAGGCTTCCATAAGATGGATCAGCAACAACCCCCATCCACCTACAAGGCACAGAGGCCCCGGCACTTCCTAAGCAACGCCTTCACCAATCTGGTATGCAACCCCCCCATGCCCAGGGTGGGCGACTACGGGCATGCACAGAGACTGCTGTCCTCTCCACGACTTCCAGTTCATTTTAGAGGGAGCCTCTGGGGCTCCAGGGAAACACTTCTCCACAGTTAAGGCCCCTCGCAAAGACAAGGGGTCATCTGTGCCCTTCTTAGATTTCATGAAGAAGGAACTGGTTTGGGAAGTGCCCACCCATTTCTGTTACTAATCACAGGGCTCCAGTTTGCATGTGGAATGTCCCGCAGAGGCTCATGCATGGAAGCCTGGGTTCCCAATTCAGCCACGTTTAGATCTGGAGCCTTTGGGAAGTGCTTAGATCCTAAGTGGATTAATCCACTGAGGAATTCATAGTTTGATGGCGTCACATCACTGGGACATGGTGGAACTGTAGGAGGTGGGTCCTAGTTAAAAGAAGTGGGTACTGGGGATGTACCCTTGGGGACTCTATCTTGTCCCTCGCTCCTACTCACTGACATGAGCCGAGCAGCCTTCTCTGTCACTTCCTTCCGCCATGATGTTCTGCTCACCTCAGGTCTAAAGCAATGGAGCCAGCTGACCACGGAGTAAACTTTTCAAATGGTGAGCCAAGATAAATCATCTTGCATCTCCACTGGTTATTCTCAAGTATTTATCACAGCAACACACATACACCAGGCCACACAAACACAGCTGCAAAGCAATGCATCTTCTATCTGGGGCTCTTTAGAGACTCCAGTGAGCTCCTCCCATCGCATCCAGGCGGGTCACAGGGAACAGGGAGTGGGAAGAGAGCCGAGAGGGAAACGGAGCACGCACGCACCCCACCCCAACTGGACGCCCACACTTCAGTGGGCTGGACCCACTTGGAAGTGGGGCTCCACCACACCCTTGCACAGAAGGGACTCGGACATTTTGCCAACTTCCCAGAAGTTCCAGAAGGCACAGCTGAACTAAGCATATGTGAAAGAACAGCTGTTGGGCTCCAAGTCGCTCTGGTTTCTGAGGGTGCACTCCAAGTCCACCGGCAATCTCCATCCTCCGTCCTACCATTTATAGCATTGGTGACGCCGATATACGTGGACCTCAGGTTTCCAGTGCTTCCCAAGGAGCTAAACCCCAAATGGAAAAGCTGGGTCCTCTGCTGGCACTTCCTGGACACAGCAGGCATGGACAGCTGGCTGTCACAGCAAAGAAAGTGACAGCTACCCGATAGATCCCTGGGCTTGACTCCTACCGTATGGCATGGACCTCAAGGCTTGCTAGTGTCCCAGGGCGCAGCGTCTCTAAGCTGCCTCCTTAACATGACTGCTTTCTCTCCATCCAAGGGAAAAGCAGGCCCAAGGGATGACCTGGAACAGCCCGGAGCAGGAAACACCCTTCAGCAAGCCAAGGGATCAGTGGACTGTGGCACATCCACACCCCAGAATCCCACTCTGCGTTAGGGAAGAATGAGCTCTGGAAGGACAGGAAAAGTAGGGATGGATCTCCAGGGCATCAGGCTGCACAGTCAGTCTGCAAAAGCTGCATGCTGCAGGATTCCATTCAGATAATACATGAAGTGAAGAAACGACGGAGACGGAGAGGCAGAGCCCAAGGTGGACGAATCCTGCCCCTGACCTATGGTAGCAGCAACACTCTGCACACACCTGGGACCACATTTCACACAACCACACAGGCAGAGCTCCCGTCACCAGACAGGGCATGCATTCACACCAAAAGCACCTTGCCAATGCCCATTTCCTACTTGGGTCAACTCGGCACAGTTCTGTTGAGAGACGCAGTCACTGCGGGGAGTCAGCAGGACACTGGAACTCTGTGCTCTGCAACTACTTGCGAGTCTGTCATGGTTTCAGAACAGAAGCCTTCAAGCCAGGTGGGTGGCTCACCCCTGCAATCCCAGCTAGTCACCAGGCTGAGGCAAGAGGACCCCAACTTCAAGGCCAGCTTGGGCAACATAGCCAGACCCAGTCTCAAGATGCAATTTAATAAAGGTAAAACGTAAGGGAGACTGAGGTAGGAAGATAGCAAGTTCAAAGCCAGCCACAGCAATTTAGTGAGCCCTAAGCAAGTTAGTAAGGCCCCGTCTCAAAAAATAGAAAGGGCTAGGGATATAGTTCATCGTCACTGGGTTCAATCCCTAGGATCCCCTCATCCCCCCCAAAAAGGTGGAGCTCAGTGGTAGAAGGCTCGCCTAGCACGCACAAGGCCAGGTTCAATCCCCAGCACCACGGAGAGGAGAAATAATAGAAGGCTCTAAAAATAACAGTGTCTGATGGATGAATGAGTAAACAAAATGTGATCTATGCATATCACGGCTCAGCGTTTGGCTGTTCAAAGGGACAAAGTACTGACATAGGACACCCACATGCTAAGTGGAAGACAGCAGACACAGAAGGCCAGTCCCAGTACTGTATGTGAAAAACCAGCAGCACCGAACATTCAAAGGGGTGATTCGTCTGCTGTGTGAATTGCATCTCAATAAAGCTGCTATCAAGACAGAACCATGTCTAGCACAGAGTTCTGCAAGTGCCCCTGTGCTCATGATGGGTGGCACCTCAATGAACCTCCTGGCACACCGCATATAGCCCTAAGCGGAACACACACCAAGGGCACCTGCTTTATCAGACCTCACAGCTCAGCGGCACAGCTGGCTGCTGGCCCTGGGATGGAGGGCTCCCTGGGGGCAGCCCACCGCTGGTGAGGAGGGTGGGAAAAGTCCTAAGTTCAACATCTGAGGTATGCTCATTCCTGAAGGAGTCCAGCCGTGAAGCCAAAGGTCGTAGGCCTTGCCACCTTCAAGCTGGGGACTGTAGGTATGTGGATTTTGGTCACGATTTTCTCTTCTCTCTTCACCAGAGGAGGCTCTGAGGATCAGCTTTGGTGCTCTTTCAAAGAGACAACCAAGGGCAGTGTGTCCCTTAGGTGTGCCCAGGTAGACCAAACATGGCAGCTCCCACACTAAAAGAATCCAGGAGGTTTTACTGAAAAAACATCAAACACCTCTTACATCCCCGTGTTCTCCACAACAGCACAGAAGTAACAGGCTCAGAGAACTGTCATCTGCAACAGAAGGGCTGTCGAAGTGTCTGCAAAAGGTGGTGTCGATGGTTCCCATGATGAACCCACAGCAGGTAAGGACAGCTCAGAAGGCCTCATTCTACAGGAGTCAGGGTCTGTCCACACTGAAAACCAGCAGACCCAGGCCTCCTGGGGGTCCACGCACGGTCCACACCAGCTCAGGACGGGCTGAGCAAGGCTTCCATGGAAAAATTTGGCCTGTCCACCCAGTGTCACAGCTGCCTGTCATTTCCAAACACATCGAGAGGGTCACGTAAGACAGAGCAGCTTCCGCCACATAAAAGCCAAACACTTTCTCGATTTGTTTATATAAACCAAACTCCAGAGCAAAGATAAATACCTCACACGTAAACGGGGGGAAAGATCAGAAGCTATGCGTCACTCCAAGGCACACACATTTTGATGACCGTCTCCATTTCTCTTTTCTAAACTTCATGGAAACCTGAATTCCAGAAGCTAAATGTTTTAAATAGAGTTAGTAGGGCTGGGGATGCGTGCAGGCCAGCAGTAAGGCGTTTGCCTGAGTTCCATCCCCAGCACTGCAAGAAGAAAAAAAGAGTTTGAAGTGCTGACAGAGAGCTTCACATTTTTCCCCCAGCAAAATCACCTATTGCAAAGAATCTCAAATTTCCATTTCCAGCACAGAAAACAAACATGACCGCCTGGCTTTAAGCATAGAAAATACGGAGAGGTTGACAGGTTGTTCATTTCATAATAAAATCTCCTTCACAATTCCACTTACTCAGAAGTAAATGCAGGCCAATCCTTTCTTCTTTCCAGGGCTTATGTCGAGACCTCTCTTCTATCTTGTATTACCTGTTAATGAATAAGACTCCAAGTTAAGTTCAAAACATAAGCAAACACATCCTGAGACAGTTTCACCCGCTCCTTAACCAAGCAGACGTCTGAGTGAGCACGTACAGTGTCCCCCCAGTCAAGGGTAGACCCCACATAAGATGGGGGTCCCGTGAGATTCCATCCCCTGGGATGATGTGATCATCTTAGTTTGTGCAAGTGCATTCTGTGATGCTGCAATAAAACGGCTAGGGACGCGTTCACCCTGATGTAGTTGACCCAACTGCAGTACTGTGGCACTAGGAGGCTGTATTAATAACTGCATTAGGTGGTGGGCCACCCTCACTGGTGGATTTAAGGCTCAAGCCTCTTTGAAAGCATGCTGTGAGGCTGTTCACACAAACTGCTCAAAAAGCGTCACGATGCTCAGCACATCGCCAGGGAATTTCAGGACCCCAAAACCCACTAGACTCTGACAACTAAACGTCGTCTTCTCTGCGATGCTAAAGCTCGCTAAGTGAACACACAGGTATTTCAGAAGGCAAGTCAAATCTTTCACCGACAGGAACTCCACGTCGAGCCCTGGGGCAGAGGGCAAGGCTGCGGAACTTGGCGAGAAAGGCACAGGGACAATTAGCTATGAACAAACGCACAAGGCAATTTCAGATGAGAAGCAATGAACACCAATCTGGGACAAGGAACAGACCCTGAGCAGGAACACAGGGACTTTGCCTCTGAGAAGGGAGCCCTTGAACAGGGGGCAAGGTTGCAGGTGCCATGCACAGGTCCTGTGCCAAGAAGGAACTTGGCATGAGGACCGGGGACAACAGCGGGGAGCCCTTTCCGTAGGGCTTTCTCCGGCATCTTCCCAGCTCTGGGCCATCAGGAAACGCGGCACAGGGGCCCCTCATGGAAACACCTGACTGCCCTGCCTGCTCTCCAGGTGTTTGCTCTGAGCGACTCCAGGGCTGAGGGCACCCACGATGCTGTGTGCAAATCCCGACAGCCCACTCGCCCGAGCACTTCACTGCCCACGAAACCACCCTTGACCATGCCTCCCTCTGCATTCTGAAAGAAGGAAAAAGGGGAAGGAGGGACTTGCTGCAGACGCCCCTCTTCCTTTTGTGGTGCTGGGGAATCGAGCCCACCCCCATCTTCCTCATAATTAATGATAAGAAACTCTCCGGACTCGAGTTTCCCTCAGCTGTGAAATAAGGGCATTAAGAATATTTATGAGGTTTCCGCCACATCAAAAAAATCTGCGGGACCATTTTCCTACCGACTTCCTCTGGCAATTCTAGGGGGAAACACTCGCGGAGAACTCATCTAAGGACTCGGGGAAGAACTGCAGAGACAGGGAGGGCAAGTGTCCGTCTCACAGCCGACTGAGCGCTGGAATATACCCCAAGGGCGCAACGTTGTACCAGGCTTGCCACCATGATTAACACTGCAACTCCAGAGAAATCCAAGTTGTACCGACACGGAAACAACATGAAAAATCTGAAACATGTTTTCAGAAGCCACTAGGCATGAAAGGGAAGCTGCCATTTCCTCCCGATTCCTTTTCTCATTTGGGTGAGCCCTGCACTAACTGGGCCAGAAGCCAGATGCCAAGATGGGCTGGCGTGAGCAGCTGGGGTGCCAGAGGGCTCTTGCTATGGGTTCAAGTTCTGTGTAATGAAGCAGCTGCTTCCTGTATTACCAACAAAAGACAGCATTTTTTTTTTTAATGTATTGAGATGGTTTATTCAATAACAGGTTTTAAAATCCTTTAAATCAGTCGTTCAAGAAGCCATGAGGTTGCCCCCCACCCCCGGGAGCAGTGGGCAATGTCTGCACACCCGTTTAGCTGTCAGGACTAGAGAGGAATGCTACCGAACACCCTTGCACACACAGGGTGGGTCTCCTTAACAAAGAATTGAGTCAACTGTCAATACTGCCCCAGTTGAGAATTCCCACTTTACGTTCAACTCTATAATTTTTAGAGAGGGTGATACCCTAACCATTTTTATTCTTTTCAAAGTAACCCATCTTTAGCTTTTAAAACTAAAAGCCAAGGGAGTCAAAAGACTCCTTTTTCAAAATTGCGAGCCTTTTTGCACCAATGATCTACAATTCCATTTCCAAAAGCAACCACTTTCATGCCTTGGAACTATTTTGTTAATGTTCGTGTTCCTTGGTATTGACTTCCATGTTTCTAAATCATCTGCTTATACTTCACTAAGCCAAATTTCAATGCAAGTTTCTGATTTTCAAATGCAGATTTGTTTCCTTAAGTGCCAACCACCAATGCTGTGCTTACCCTTTTTCACGTTTTCCCCATCACTTTTTGTAACTTGTTTTCTGTTAAATCTACACTCTGCACATATTATTTCGATAATGGTAAGATTCATTGCTTATTCAACTTTTGCATTTTCTTGGAGTCCCTAGTTGTCTTTGTTTTTGTTTTCTTTGTTCCCTTTGACAAAATTCTTCCAAGATCTTGCAACATTCTTTCCATTCAATTTTCCACACGATTAAAATGCTCAGATATTGCGCTGGGGTTGTGGCTCAGTGGTAGAGGACCTGCCTGGCCCATCTGAGGCACTGGGTTCAATCCTCAGCACCACATAAAAATAAAGGCAGTGTGTCCATCTCCAACTTAAAAAAATTAAGAACAAGAACATTTAGATCGTCTGTCAGTTCCACGTGCTGCCACCTTCAGAACACACGTACCAGAAGGTCCTCTTCCAATTTCTTGGGTCCAGTCTGTGCTAGTCAGTGTTAGGCCTGCTGCAACCTGAAACCATCAATGCCTCGAGAACTCCTTCTCTTTGTTGTCTATCTGGACATTCAGAGTCCCACAATGTCCCCTTCCTTGGTTACTGTCTCACCTTGGTGGGACAGGTTGTCCACTTCTAGAAGTGAGATGTCTAAGTGAAATGTGGCTGACGTATGAATGCGTACAAACATCTTTAGTCCATCCTCCATAAATTTGCAGGGGAGAAACTTCAAAATTCTGGGTGCAAATTATTTTCAAACAATTCTACAGTACATCTGTTTTCTAACTTCCACTCTTGCTGTTAAAAAATCTGATGCCACTCATCCTTTACATATATAACTTTAAAATCCTAAAAAAGTGTTTCAATATCACCTTTATCCCTACTATTTTAATGTTATGCTTAGCTTTGATGTAACATTTTGATGAGTTTAAAATTTGTTTTATAATTTTTTTTTAAGTTGTCACTGGACCTTTATTCATATGTGGTGCTGAGAATCAAACCCAGTGCCTCACACATGCTAGGCAAGTGCTCTGCCACTGACCCACAGCTGCAGCCCTTTTCATTTATTTTTTTATTTCAAGATAGGGCTTTACTTAATTGCTCAGGCTGGACTGCAATCCTCCTGCCTCAGTCTCCCAGGTAAATGGGAGTTGGGTGTGGTGCTGCACACCTGTAATGACAGGGTTCATTTTTGCTCAAGTTACTTGGTATGAAAACTTCTCTCTCCTTCAGATTTGAGGATTTGTTTTGCTCTTCCCTGAAGTTCCTATTAGGCTCATGTCTGACTGTCCACAACTGCTCTGTGCAGTTAAACTTATTGTGCCCCATGTTCCCCGTCTACTGAGGACTCCACTAGCCACATGCAGCTACTGAACACTAGTCACATAGCCAGTACTGGTGATGAGCACCGGTTTAATTGTATGTAAATTTAACTAAGTTGAAACAGTCACACGTGGCTGGTGGCTACCCTATTGCAATGGTACTAATGTAAAGACTATCAAGAAGGGAAAAAACACTAATCAGGGGAAGCAAAGCCTTTGAGCACCAATTCTATGACTACATTCAACTTAAATTCAGAAGGAAAAGTTGAATATACTTCGAAACCCCCGCCCTTAGTATTTCCAGTATGAAGTTCCACAATTTAGTTCCCAACAGAGAAACTCCAGAACCTGAATGGGTTTTCCTCAAGTAGAAACATCCTTTTGTGAGTAAAGATGCGGTTCATTATCCCCAAGTATAAAAAGGGAAAAGGAGATCCCACGGGTGCCTCACAAAACAGTCACACGCATGCTAAAGATCAAGGAAAGATCAAGGAAAAACAAGGAACACTGGCAACTTCTTTGTAGGTCAGGCAGAGGACTGCACATTTCTTCCTAAATGTTTTGGTTTAGAAATACAGGAACTAAAAAGGCATTAGTTGTAGTTGGACACAATACCTTTATGTTATTTTTATGTGGTGCTGAGGATCGAACCCAGTGCCTCGCACATGCTAGGCAAGTGCTCTACCGCAGGGCCACAACCCCAGCGCCTACACCAGGGCATTTTCTAAGCATGCATCTTTTTCTTCATTTGATACACGTAACACGTAAACCAAACTGTTGCTCAGGCTCTCTGATGATCTAGATGGAAAAGAACAAAACCAAGCCACAGGTGAGCACGCCTGCAATCTCAGCAATTGGGAGGTTGAGGCAGGAGATTGGCAAGTTCAAAGGCAGCCTCAGCAACTCAGCGAGACCCTGCCTCAAAAGAGGGCTGGGGATGTGGCTCCGTGGTCCAGCACCCCTGGGTTCAATCCCCAGTACCAACACACACACACACACACGCACCAGAAAAAAAAAAAACCACAAAAGTTCTGAATACTCCCTGGGGTTGTGGCTCAGTGGTACAGCACTTGCCTAGCACACGTGAGGCCCTGGGTTCAAGCCTTAGTACCACATAAAAATAACTTTTTTGTAGTTGGATCTTACTCATTTATTAAAAAAACTAACAGGGAGCAGGATCAGAACCTGAAGTTCCTGTTGAGTCAAACAAGAAGACACATTTCCACAGGTATTTTCCCTTCTCTCAAGATATGTCATTTAATACCCATCAGTTCCTGGAAAATGTGAATCTGTTATTTGTAGGTTTTACAAGTTCAGTGTAAAAGTATAAACAATTCAAAGAAGGAGAAATAGAGACGCTAAACACACAAACTTGATTTCCTCTTGTTATGTCTGATGAGGCTTAGTAACAAATCATGCTTGTCAAAGTGGCAAAATC